AACTAACTAACTAACTAACTAACTCTAACTAACTAACTAACTAACTAACTAACTAACTAACTAACTAACTACTAACTAACTAACTAACTAACTAACTACTAACTAACTAACTAACTAACTAACTACTAACTAACTAACTAACACTAACTAACTAACTAACTAACTAACTAACTAAACTAACTAACTAACTAACTAACTAACTAACTAACTAACTAACTAACTAACTAACTAACTAACTAACTAACTAACTAACTAACTAACTAACTAACTAACTAACTAACTAACTAACTAACTAACTAACTAACTAACTAACTACTAACTAACGAACTAACTAACTAACTAACTAACTAACTAACTACTAACTAACTAACTAACTAACTAACTAACTAACTAACTAACTAACTAACTAACTAACTAACTAACTAACTAACTAACTAACTACTAACTAACTAACTAACTAACTAACTAACTAACTAACTAACTAACTAACTAACTAACTAACTAACTAACTAACTAACTACTAACTAACTAACTAACTAACTAACTAACTAACTAACTAACTAACTAACTAACTAACTAACTAACTAACTAACTAACTACTAACTAACTAACTAACTACTAACTAACTAACTAACTAACTAACTAACTAACTACTAACTAACTAATAACTAACTAACTAACACTAACTAACTAACTAACTAACTACTAACTAACTAACTAACTAACTAACTAACTAACTAACTAACTACTAACTAAACTGTCTAGTCATAGTCTAGTCATAGTCTAGTCATAGTCTAGTCATAGTCTAGTCATAGTCTAGTCTAGTCTAGTCATAGTCTAGTCATAGTCTAGTCATAGTCTAGTCATAGTCTAGTCATAGTCTAGTCATAGTCTAGTCATAGTCTAGTCATAGTCTAGTCATAGTCTAGTCATAGTCTAGTCATAGTCTAGTCATAGTCTAGTCATAGTCTAGTCATAGTCTAGTCATAGTCTAGTCATAGTCTAGTCATAGTCTAGTCATAGTCTAGTCATAGTCTAGTCATAGTCTAGTCATAGTCTAGTCATAGTCTAGTCATAGTCTAGTCATAGTCTAGTCATAGTCTAGTCATAGTCTAGTCATAGTCTAGTCATAGTCTAGTCATAGTCTAGTCATAGTCTAGTCATAGCTAGTCATAGTCTAGTCATAGTCTAGTCAAGTCTAGTCATAGTCTGTCCATAGTCAGTCATAGTCTAGTCATAGTCTAGTCATAGTCTAGTCATAGTCTATCATAGTCTAGTCATAGTCTAGTCATAGTCTAGTCATAGTCTAGTCATAGTCTAGTCATAGTCTAGTCATATGTCTAGTCATAGTCTAGTCCCATAGTCTAGTATAGTCTAGTCATAGTCTAGTCATAGTCTAGTCATAGTCTAGTCCATAGTCTAGTCATAGTCTAGTCTAGTCTAGTCATAGTCTAGTCATAGTCTAGTCATAGTCTAGTCATAGTCTAGTCATAGTCTAGTCATAGTCTAGTCATAGTCTAGTCATAGTCCTAGTCATAGTCTAGTCATAGTCTAGTCATAGTCTAGTCATAGTCTAGTCATAGTCCTATTCTAGTCTAGTCCATAGTCTAGTCATAGTCTAGTCCATAGTCTAGTCATAGTCAGTCTAGTCATAGTCTAGTCATAGTCTAGTCATAGTCTAGTCATAGTCTAGTCATAGTCTAGTCATAGTCTAGTCATAGTCTAGTCATAGTCTAGTCCTATCTAGTCTAGTCATCATAGTCTAGTCATAGTCTAGTCTAGTCAGTCTAGTCTAGTCTAGTCATAGTCTAGTCATAGTCTCTAGTCTAGTCATTCTAGTCATAGTCTAGTCATAGTCTAGTCATCTAGTCATAGTCTAGTCATAGTCTAGTCATAGTCTAGTCATAGTCTAGTCATAGTCTAGTCATAGTCTAGTCATAGTCTAGTCATAGTCTAGTCATAGTCTAGTCATAATCTAGTTATTCTCTTGTCACTTAAGATAATGTATCATATGTTTGCATATAATGCCATTTCTTAGTGAAGAATCATGCTTATCTGGAATGTTATTTACCGTTCCCCGTTTAATAGAATAAGCAGAATTGTGATACTCTCACAGCATAGGTAAATGCGACCTTCACCTGTTTTTTTTCGAACAATTTTTGTAAGACTTTCATCTTTGCTGTAATGCTAAGCATACGAAATATTTCTTCATTTAAAAAAATCTATCTACGTACTTTGTATTTTGCAGACTTCGTATTCAAAGAATAATTTTAATCTTTTTTGTGGTTAAATTATTCATAGCCGTGTATAAAATTGAATATATTTATGTCTGCATTTTTTCCTACACACACATACAAATACATATATGAATGTACTTCTTTTGAATTCATTCTTTTATTTATTCGCAATAAGTTCTTGCAGACACAATGGAATATAAGATTTGTGTTTTATTTTCTTCTTTAGTTAGCAAGACAATTTGAAATTGTTGTACAATGTCTGTGTATTTCAAATGTGAAATCGTCTTGAATTGTGTGTGTGTTTTTTTTTCCAAGAGAAAAGACATGCATGGTAAGTGGGTAGAAAATGGAAAAATAGCAACAGATAAATTATATGAATACTAAAAGTGCTGGGAAATTAGTTCAATGTTATCTTATTTAAAAGATTCTAAGAATTTAAAAAAGTATAATAGTAGTTTATTAAATATGGGCCTCTAAATAGATTTATTAAACATTTAAGTTAAATACTTATTATGTATGTAGAAAGTGGAAAGAAGTTCTTCTCATTATTAAAAATTTAAGTTTTTGTTGAAGATTGGATTATGACTAAACTTTTAGCGACAAAGATGAAATTTTGCCTTTTTGATAATTTATTAGTATAACAGTTTAAGTACTTACTGTTTTAAGCTTAACAGCACATCTCATGTTGTCATATAATTATATTAAAATCATATTAAATTTAGAAAATAATATTCCACAAATATCTTGATGATATCTATATTTTATGAATTTTCTTTGCACAAAAATTTTATATATTTTAAATAAACTTGGCATAATCTTGTAACCATTAGTTATATGTATTTGCAGATGGTAGATTATTAAAGAAAACCCAAAAAGCTCAAAAAAGGATAATTGGTTTTTTGGTTTTGACTAAGTTTATTAGTTAAAATTCCCAAGTTAATCATACATCATTTAGAATTGCGTAATATAAACATTATGGCAATATTGGAGTAAGGGTTTTATGAGGACAACCATACTAAGAAATCTATCTCATAACTAATCTGTTTTTTATTTTATTAAGAATAAGCTTTATTATTTTGCAATATTGCTAAATACCACTGGTTATTATTAAGATTCGTATAGTTTTTTTTTTTTTTGCCTTGACCTCAATTTCTCTCAGTTCTGGCCATCTCAGACTTCTGTTGCTTTCCGTTTGGTTTATAAAACCCATAGCACTTGTTTTCTTATCTACTCTTACTCCATACTTACTACTTGTATAATATTTAAACACATGACTGAACATGCTTGCCTTTATAAACACAAACACTTTTACTTCAAACAAACTGATACAAACATATTTGAGAGCAAAAAAAATATCATTATTATATAATATTCCAACAATAAAAAGATTATAAAACTCATAAAAATCTGTTAATAAAATCCCCATTAGACTTACTCTTGTTTTTGCTTTTAATACTCAGCATTATGCTTTTTATATAAAATTTTTGTCAATTAGTGTGTGAGAAATCAGTGAATGTGAAATGAGGAAAAATGAGAAGGATGGGGGTGTTTAAGGTAAATATTGTATAATTCCAAGGGATTTAAATTATAAGAAAGCAGAAATGAACTAGAACTGAATATGAACTGAACTAGAACTGAACTAGAACTGAACTAGAACTGAACTAGAACTGAACTAGAACTGAACTAGAACTGAACTAGAACTGAATATGAACTGAACTAGAAACTGAACTAGAACTGAACTAGAACTGAACTAGAACTGAACTAGAACTGAACTAGAACTGAACTAGAACTGAACTAGAACTGAATATGAACTGAACTAGAACTGAACTAGAACTGAACTAGAACTGAACTAGAACTGAACTAGAACTGAACTAGAACTGAACTAGAACTGAACTAGAACTGAACTAGAACTGAACTAGAACTGAACTAGAACTGAACTAGAACTGAACTAGAACTGAACTAGAACTGAACTAGAACTGAACTAGAACTGAACTAGAACTGAACTAGAACTGAACTAGAACTGAACTAGAACTGAACTAGAACTGAACTAGAACTGAACTAGAACTGAACTAGAACTGAACTAGAACTGAACTAGAACTGAACTAGAACTGAACTAGAACTGACTAGAACTGAACTAGAACTGATCTAGAACTGAACTAGAACTGAACTAGAACTGAACTAGAACTGAACTAGAACTGAACTAGAACTGAACTAGAACTGAACTAGAACTGAACTAGAACTGAACTAGAACTGAACTAGAACTGAACTAGAACTGAACTAGAACTGAACTAGAACTGAACTAGAACTGAACTAGAACTGAACTAGAACTGAACTAGAACTGAACTAGAACTGAACTAGAACTGAACTAGAACTGAACTAGAACTGAACTAGAACTGAACTAGAACTGAACTAGAACTGAACTAGAACTGAACTAGAACTGAACTAGAACTGAACTAGAACTGAACTAGAACTGAACTAGAACTGAACTAGAACTGAACTAGAACTGAACTAGAACTAGAACTGAACTAGAACTGAACTAGAACTGAACGAAAACTGAGCTAAAAAATGTGATACTTTTGCGATGTTGGGTATAAAATTACAACTGGATGGCATATGTTTTTTGCCTAATAGTGCTCATACATGCATACTTATTTTACTCCAGCCTACAGACCAATTTAAAACAATATTCTCCTAATTTTCCCTAATGAAGCACTATGTCTAGTATAAGTCAATAAAAGAAAAACACACACACTTTTTACTTACCCAGATGATGTGCTATATGATCATGTTCCGGTAATTCGTGAGGTAGCAGACTGCCTGTATGATGATAACCAATATTGTCCATATTATGTAAATACATATCATCCGCATCCACTAAATCTGTATGATGATTAATATGATGGGCCATAATATGATCCACATCATCTAAATCTATATGATGGTCATCTTGTGAGTGTGCGGACGCGGCACGTATATGACGTTGATTATGCGAGGCAAGAGTATTTGTGTTGGCGCTACTAAAAGTATGCTTTAAATAGGGAATAGTAGTAGTGATGTTTATATTTGTATTGCTGATAGTAGTTAAATTTGTGTTTGTTATTTTCTCAGTAGCTAAAGCTGTAACACTAAATATAACATAACAATTAAGGCAAATTGCAACAATTAGCCATGAAATTTCCGGTATTTTACGTTTCCGTTTCATTTTTCTATTATGTGGTCGGCGTTGCTGTTTGTTAATGGAGTGAGGACTGTTAAGAGCGTTGGTGCTGGTGTTGTCTATAGTTGTAATAGTGGAGCTGTAAGTGTGTGAGTTTAAGGAAACGAGGCGGGTTGTCTGTTGCTTAATAATTGGAGTAGTAGTTTTTGTACAAAAACCAGCGGTAGTAGTTGTTGTTGCCAAGGAAGTTAGTAATTCACTTTCATTTTCTGTTTTAGCCATTGCTTTTATTTGAATTTATTTATATTTTTAATTTATGCTCGTACAATTTTATGACATTCTGGTTGGTTTTTGTGTGCGAGTATGGTTTTTTCTAAATTAATTTTATTTGTGGTTTTTCTTTTTATATTATAATTGGTTTTATTACATTATATAATTTTAAACACAATTTAATTTTTTCTATATACATTTTTTGCCTATTTTTTGGTGAAAAATTTGCTGATTTAATTTTTATTTGCTAGCGGTTTTTTGTGGTTTTGCGGGGTTTTTAAAGGTTTTTTTGTAATGACATTATGTTAGTGGTTTCCATTATATATTTTCATCACTAAAGTTTTTTCTGGGTTATTTAGGTTTATTTTTTGAAATTTTATTACATTTTAATTATGGTTTAAAATTGCTTTTCTGTAATTAATTTTTCATGTTTATTGTTTATAGTTTTTATATGGTATTTATTTACTAGAATGAAGATAATAAGTTTTAAACATTTTACAAACAATGTGAAAGCAACAATAAATTTCAAATTAATTGAAGGTTTTATATTGCAGCAGTAATTAGCAGATTGTTCTGTACAAAGAAATTAAAAGGGAAAAGAAAAAGGAAAAAAGAACCTTACCTAAACTGACCTAGAACTGAACTAGAACTGAACTAGAACTGAACTAGAACTGAACTAGAACTGAACTAGAACTGAACTAGAACTGAACAAGAACTGAACTAGAACTGAACTAGAACTGAACTAGAACTGAACTAGAACTGAACTAGAACTGAACTAGAACTGAACTAGAACTGAACTAGAACTGAACTAGAACTGAACTAGAACTGAACTAGAACTAGAACTGAACCAGAACTGAACTAGAACTGAACTAGAACTGAACTAGAACTGAACTAAAACTGAACTAAAACTGAACTAGAACTGAACTAGAACTGAACTAGAACTGAACTAGAACTGAACTAGAACTGAACTAGAACTGAACTAGAACTGAACTAGAACTGAACTAGAACTGAACTAGAACTGAACTAGAACTGAACTAGAACTGAACTAGAACTGAACTAGAACTGAACTAGAACTGACTAGAACTGAACTAGAACTGAACTAGAACTGAACTAGAACTGAACTAGAACTGAACTAGAACTGAACTAGAACTGAACTAGAACTGAACTAACTGAACTAGAACTGAACTAGAACTGAACTAGAACTGAACTAGAACTGAACTAGAACTGAACTAGAACTGAACTAGAACTGAACTAGAACTGAACTAGAACTGAACTAGAACTGAACTAGAACTGAACTAGAACTGAACTAGAACTGAACTAGAACTGAACTAGAACGAACTAGAACTGAACTAGAACTGAACTAGAACTGAACTAGAACTGAACTAGAACTGAACTAGAACTGAACTAGAACTGAACTAGAACTGAACTAGAACTGAACTAGAACTGAACTAGAACTGAACTAGAACTGAACTAGAACTGAACTAGAACTGAACTAGAACTGAACTAGAACTGAACTAGAACTGAACTAGAACTGAACTAGAACTGAACTAGAACTGAACTAGAACTGAACTAGAACTGAAATAGAACTGAACTAGAACTGAACTAGAACTGAACTAGAACTGAACTAGAACTGAACTAGAACTGAACTAGAACTGACTAGAACTGAACTAGAACTGAAAAACTAAAGAAACTGAACTAGAAACTGAACTAGAACTGAACTAGAACTGAACTAGAACTGAACTAGAACTGAACCTGACTACGAACTAGAACTGAACTAGAACTGAACTGAACTGAACTAGAACTGAACTATAAACTGAACTAGAACTGAACTAGAACTGACTGAACTGAACTAGAACTGAACTAGAACTGAACTAGAACTGAACTAGAAACTGACTAGAACTGAACTAGAACTGACTAGAACTGAACTAGAACTGAACTAGAACTGAACTAGAACTGAACTAGAACTGAACTATAACTGAACTATAACTGAACTAGAACTGAACTAGAACTGAAACTAGAACTGAACTAGAACGGAACTAGAACTGAACTAGAACTGTAACTAGAAAACTGAACTAGAACTGAACTAGAACTGAACTAGAACTGAACTAGAACTGAACTAGAACTGAACTAGGACTGAACTAGAACTGAACTAGAACTGAACTAGAACTAAACTAGAACTGAACTAGAACTGAGCTAGAACTGAACTAGAACTGAAATAGAACTCAACTAGAATAAGAACTCAACTAGAATATAAAAAAATTAACAAATAACTCATTTTAAAGCTTTGAATTGCACATTAAAATTTAAACATTTTTACAAAAGCCTTTTAAATAATTATCCTCTGGAATGAAATAAATCCTCTAAGTTACCATAATATTTAAATTAAATTTAAATACCCATTAAAGCTTAAAAATAGTCCATTAACATTAAAATAAAATGCCACATATAAAAATGTTTATAATTGTATGTTAAATTGTTAAAAATTTAATATAAAGTATAACATGTAACTGCCTTTTATTTAGCTCACGATGAAAATTTAACCTGTAAGCATTGCATATACTAGGGCTGCCGTATAAATTTGCTAAATTAAAATCTACTTTTAGGTAGAATTTTTATCTATGTATATTCAGTATACAATTTTCATTTGTTGTAATGAATTCCCCCTTTAGCATTCAACTTCAAAAAATGTTAACCTTGTTTAAAATATTGTATTTAGCGTGATGTTTTACTGTTGCATTCGGTACCCACAACAACAAACCAACAACACAAACCTTTAATATTAATTAAATTTACCCTAAAATTATGCTAGTTACAGAACACATACACACACACAAATGCACATTGCATATATATGTGAATAGAACAGAACAGGTTTAATAGTTACATTTGGTAGTGACGAATATTCAATACCCTTCAGCTATTATATTATAGTGAAGAATCATTAATCGGATTAATAAGAATTAAGACTATTGGTGTCTAACTAAAACGAAAATTCTTTTGGAAGATTGTTTCATATTTTTATTTAAAGAGATTAACTCTGAAAATTTTCTTTATTTTGATCTCTTATTATTGCTAGTTTTGAACTAAAATTATAGGTACAAAATATATATTATTAAACAAATTACAAATAAATCGATTTAGAATTTTATTATTGCTAACCAAATATACATGTTAATATTTGTAGGGAACGAAATATATATTTCACATTTACCACTACTACTGGTGTGGAGTTTATATAAAGAGTAAACAATCTACTCATTATGCTTAAAGTATAGACATTTTATGCAATAAACGTCGCACAATGGGAAAAGATGCAATAATCCTGATAATAAAACTAAATTGGTAAGTATAGTTTACAGTGTAGTATATAGTCTTTCTATAGTCTAGTCTATAGTCTAGTCTATAGTCTAGTCTATAGTCTAGTCTATAGTCTAGTCTATAGTCTAGTCTATAGTCTAGTCTATAGTCTAGTCTATAGTCTAGTCTATAGTCTAGTCTATAGTCTAGTCTATAGTCTAGTCTATAGTCTAGTCATAGTCTAGTCTATAGTCTAGTCTATAGTCTAGTCTATAGTCTAGTCTATAGTCTAGTCTATAGTCTAGTCTATAGTCTAGTCTATAGTCTAGTCTATAGTCTCTCTATAGTCTAGTCTATAGTCTAGTCTATAGTCTAGTCTATAGTCTAGTCTATAGTCTAGTCTATAGTCTAGTCTATAGTCTAGTCTAGTCTAGTCTATAGTCTAGTCTATAGTCTAGTCTATAGTCTAGTCTATAGTCTAGTCTATAGTCTAGTCTATAGTCTAGTCTATAGTCGTCTATAGTCTAGTCTATAGTCTATCTATAGTCTAGTCTATAGTCTAGTCTATAGTCTAGTCTATAGTCTAGTCATAGTCTAGTCTATAGTCTAGTCTATAGTCTAGTCTATAGTCTAGTCTATAGTCTAGTCTATAGTCTAGTCTATAGTCTAGTCTATAGTCTAGTCTATAGTCTAGTCTATAGTCTAGTCTATAGTCTAGTCTATAGTCTAGTCTATAGTCTAGTCTATAGTCTAGTCTTAGTCTAGTCTATAGTCTAGTCTATAGTCTAGTCTATAGTCTAGTCTAGTCTAGTCTATAGTCTAGTCTATAGTCTAGTCTATAGTCTAGTCTATAGTCTAGTCTATAGTCTAGTCTATAGTCTAGTCTATAGTCTAGTCTATAGTCTAGTCTATAGTCTAGTCTATAGTCTAGTCTATAGTCTAGTCTATAGTCTAGTCTATAGTCTAGTCTATAGTCTAGTCTATAGTCTAGTCTATAGTCTAGTCTATAGTCTAGTCTATAGTCTAGTCTATAGTCTAGTCTATAGTCTAGTCTATAGTCTAGTCTATAGTCTAGTCTATAGTCTAGTCTATAGTCTAGTCTATAGTCTAGTCTATAGTCTAGTCTATAGTCTAGTCTATGTCTAGTCTATAGTCTAGTCTATAGTCTAGTCTATAGTCTAGTCTATAGTCTAGTCTATAGTCTAGTCTATAGTCTAGTCTATAGTCTAGTCTATAGTCTAGTCTATAGTTCTAGTCTATAGTCTAGTCTATATCTAGTCTAAGTCTAGTCTATAGTCTAGTCTATAGTCTAGTCTATAGTCTAGTCTATAGTCTAGTCTATAGTCTAGTCTATAGTCTAGTCTATAGTCTAGTCTATAGTCTAGTCTATAGTCTAGTCTATAGTCTAGTCTATAGTCTAGTCTATAGTCTAGTCTATAGTCTAGTCTATAGTCTAGTCTATAGTCTAGTATATAGTCTAGTATATAGTCTAGTCTATAGTCTAGTATATAGTCTAGTCTATAGTCTAGTCTATAGTCTAGTCTATAGTCTAGTCTATAGTCTAGTCTATAGTCTAGTCAATAGTCTAGTCTATAGTCTAGTCTACAGTCTATTCTATATTCTAGTCTATAGTCTAGTCTATAGTCTAGCCTATAGTCTAGTGAAAAAGTCTAGCCTATAGTCTAGTCTATAGTCTAGTCTATAGTCTAGTCTACAGTCTTTCTATTCTAGTCTATAGTCTAGCCTATAGTCTAGTCTATAGTCTAGCCTATAGTCTAGTCTATAGCACTCTAGCTAAATTTTCTTTAAATCTTTTTCATTTAAACCGCATTAATTTCAGTCACATTGTGCTTACACGTTGCATTATTTACAACTCGTTGTATTGGTGCAACGTTTGAATGTAACTCTTTCTTGCCCATTACACCCTCACTTTAAAAAGAAAAACAAAATATACGGTTTTGCCTTACACTTGTATTCATATAATTATATTATTCTAACACTAACTGTTGCTAAACAAACCAAGGCCATGCTACAAAGTATATAGTTACCCAACAATTTTACTTGTGCCCAAATGTACCTTTTATTTCAAACAATTTCCATTCTTTCCATACAAAGTTTA